TTACAAAAACCACATTATGTTTGAAATGGATAAATTATTGCAAACAATTGCCACCATGAAAAATGCTCTGCAACAACAAAAGACTCAACAACCGAATATATCTAGAATTAATGTAATGGCTAACTTCGAGCATTTTAATCCAGAAACGGAATTATTCGAAAAGAAGACCGTTACCAGCTAAATTGTGCAACATTTGCAAACATATTTCTGTACAAAGAAAAATATACTGGTGGAACAACACAAATTTTTAAATAAAAATCAGAATGAAGACCAAAGTATTTCTGATTTTGTTGCTGTGTTACAGAAGAGAAGCGGGATATAAGTTTGTGTGTAGTTGTCATAAATCAGTGTCAGACGTATTTTGCAGAGCACAATTTATACGTCGAATACGGAATGATTCCATTCGCGTGAAATTGCTTCAAAACCCAGATCAAATTTTTGTGGAAATCTGTGAGAAGGCCAAAACGTTGGAAGCGACAAAAAAAAAACAAAGAGCACAAAACTCATCCAAAAGTGAGATACATAAAATAAAACAACAATCCACTAAAAGCAAGAAAATAATCGATATCAAAAAAGTAATCGATATACGTCATCTCAAGTCACTATCGACATCTGGCACTTGAGGGGTTGTGTTTGCGGTGTGGCCGAAGTAATAACAGATCGAATGGATGCAAAACAAACAAAACAAGTAAAAAAGCTGTAAGTTCGGCCGGGCCGAACTTTTATTACCCTCCACCATTTGGTACAAATTTGGCAATTTCCAAAAAAAAAATAAATAAATAAATAAAATAAAAAAAAAATCCTTCAAAAATTCTGTTAAAATCTTAAAAATACCGAATGTCTATACGACGACGTATACCTGCATAGGCAACTTTTGTCATAAGTTATTACAACATTTAAATGCGAAACTTGAAGAAAAATTTGTTTATAATGTAGCTAAAATCATCAAAATACCGAATATAGGGGGTACCGTTATATGGGGGCTATACGAAGGCGTGGACCTGCACAGACAATTTTCAGGCATGGGCTGAAGTATCCATTACGAACTTCACATGCGAAATTTGAAACAATCCCGGTAAATGATGTCGCTAAAATCATCAAAATACCGAATATCGGGGGGTACGGTATATGGGGGCTATACGAAGACGTGGACCTACATGGCCCATTTTCTGTTTTCTGCTGCAGTATCTGTTACGAACTTCAAATACCAAATTTGGAACGGTTCCGTTAAATAATGTCGCTAATATCATCAAAATACCGAATATCGGGGGGTACCGTTGTATGGGGGCTATACGAAGACGTGGACCTACACAGATAATTTTCTGTCTTAGGCTATAGTATCCATTACGAACTTCAAATGCCAAATTTGAAACAATTCCGGTGAATAATGTCGCTAAAATCATCAAAATACCGAATATCGAGAGGTACCGTTATATGGGGGCTATGTGAAAACTTGGACCTACATGACCTACGAACTTAACCTGCCTACTGGCAAAATAAACATGTGTGCAAATATTTAGCCTTCTATCTCAATTTGTTCGAAAGATAGCGTGATTACAACAGACAGACAGACAGACAGACACACAGACAGACAGACGGACATGGCTAAATCGTCTTAGAATTTTACGCTGATCAAGAATATATATACTTTGTTGGGTCTGACGTGAGTATTTCGAGGAGTTACAAACGGAATGACAAAATTAATATACCCTCCATAGTATGGTGGAGGGTATAATAAAGTGTTAATTTTGTAAAAAATTGGCAATGTTAAACAAGTGTGCATAAAGTTAAGAATGGAACAAAACTCATATATCACAATTGAAACTGATTCATCTAACTACAGCGATAGTTATGACAGTGAGAATGGCGGAATACATCAAATTGCCGAAATCTACAACAAGAGGGAAATTCCCCCGCAGAAATTATATATAACTGTTTTTAGGACGTGTCTGGATTAGACACCTTAAACTTGATTTAAACGAAGTGGACCGGCATCGCTGACAGGTAAATGGAGTCAGCTATTCGCATGTAAAATCAATATCAGAAATAACAGAGAAATATTCAGAGGTTTTTTAACAAAAAGTCGGGTGCATCCCAAATTTAATATGTTGCAGGAAAGTGCAAAGCCAGCATTTATAAAAGAAAGGCAAGTACCATTTGCATGGCGTGAGAAAGTAGTAGTTGATTATAAGGTTTGTGACAATCCACAATTGGAGTCAGCCCATTATCCAATAAAACGAATTGATGAAATATCCAACACGTTAAAGAATTCAAAATATTTTTGTAAGCTGGACATCTAAAAGCATATTTACACGTAACTGTGGACGAAGAAAGCAGTATTATCCAAACATAATCTACACACAGGGGTACGTATTAAAGGGCTGCAAATGTGACAATTTTCTCTGTTTATGCCATGGAGAGAAAACGCTCGTCATGTTGTGTCCTGTTTGATCAAACGCATAACAGTACGTGACATCCAACCAAATGCTCGATGTCTCGTCATTTCGGTCACACTCAAACCCATCGTCATAACATGTAATGACCTATAAAAGGAAATGTTGAATAGTGTGTCATACTAAAATGTTCTATCAAAAAAACAACAACAATTATGAAACAATTGCCAACGAAAAAGACACACACGTGATGAAGGCAAAGGGCAATCGCTACCTGCTTTTCCGATATGTGAAAAAATAAATTTTTTGTAATAAAGAATTTCTTGACGAATACTAAAATATTAAAGGTACCTCTAATTGGTCCACACAAAATTTTCACATTTCGTGGTTATTGACGAAACAATCTAAAATGTTATTCCTTATTAAAAAACAATAATCCCCTGAAAAATTTTCTGTCCACAAACTTTAATTTAAAAAAAAAACACTTTATGTAGGTAGAAAATAAGCAAACAATATTTACCTCTTTTTTATGACCAACATTTTATGATAATCACCAATAAATTGGGATTGTTCAGTATATATTTCATTTTTTCTATTCATTTGTTGATGTCTATGCACATTTTGTTATTGAATTCAATTTTATATTTACGCGGTGTTTGTTACTTCAAAATTACAGCACACACAAAAACACCCCTCACCGTCGAAAGTAACACACACACTCTCTCAATTTAAGCACACGTACACAAATGACACACAATTTGACGATGACACGGTTCGATGTCATCGTTGACACCCTCCGTTTATGGAGAACACCATGCAAATATTCGAGTCAGCCATGCCACGATCGAACCTTAGACAATGACACACATGAATCAAAATGGGGGATGTTGTGGGTTGTCATTGCCTATCAAATACAGGCCTTTAGTACGTATCGTATGAACCGATTGTCATTTGGCATCAAGACAGCTTCGAGCGAGTTTAATCGTATAATAGATCAAATGCTACAAGGTTTTGAAGGGACTACATCTTATTTTGATGACATCTTTGTAAACGGCCCAAATAAATTTGTGTGTGAAACAGACTTGTGGAATATTTAGAACGATTGCAGAAATATCATCTACATGTCAATAAGGAGAAATGTGAGTATTTCACATTTCGATATCTAATTCGATATCTAATTGCCCTTTAAATTAGAAGCTATGTCTAAACTTCCACGTCCTGCTACTGTAGATGATGTCAGAAGGTTTTTAGAAATGGTCACATATTATTCACGTTTCATTCCCAACATGACAACCCTAACATATCCTCTGAGAATTTTACTTGAGGAAGGAAAAGCATTTTCATGGTCAAAGCAATGTGAGGAAGCATTTATCAAATCAAAACAAGAAATATTAAATGACCGAATTTTAGTTCCGTATAATGAATCGTTGCCTTTAACTGTCACATCTGGTACAAGTCCAACAGGTATTGCTGCCGTACTTTCTCATGTCATCGACGATTTTGAAAGGCCGATTCCGTTGATATCTAGAGCATTGACAAAAGCGGAACAAAATTATAGCCAATAAGATAGGGAAGATCTCGCAATTATTTTTGCAGTTGATAAACTGTTTATGTATTTGCATGGCAGAGAATTTATACTAGTGACTGATAATCGACCCATATCAAGTATTTTTCATCAAAATACTGAAACACCCTCAATGTCCAAACTGTGCAATGGTACGCAACAGCCCCCAAATGTAGAAATTCATCCGCGGGATGATCCTGTCAAAATTTTTAAAAGAGTGTATATCGATTATGCAGGACCATTTCAAAGCATCTAATTCCTTGTGTTACTCGATACAAAGTCCAAATGGCCAAAATTAATGGTATGTAAACAAGCTCCAACATCAGATAGTACAATAAATTTGCTACAAAATATATTTGCGACATACGGACTTCCTCAAATTATTGTGTCTGATAATGCAACAATATTCCAAAGTACCATATTCAAAATATTTTGTAAAAATAATGGCATTATCCAAAAGTTTATAGCTCCGGGATACCCAGCTAGCAACGGTCTCGCAGAAAGTCATATTCAAACTTTGAGGAAGAAACTTAAAGCGATGGAAAATGAAAAAGCACCATTACGCCTGAAAGTACAATAAATTGTTATATTATATAGGGAAACACCCCTTTCTAATGTCCAAAGCCCCGCAAATGCGTATCTAGGTCGCGATTTACGTATCAAAATTGATAAAATTCGACCTGTAAAAATGGTAAATCCTATGACTAAATCAAAATTCCGAAGTCCTTGCGTCGGTGAAAGGGTGCAAGTGCGTTGGTACGATAAGGGAGAACCAACATGGAAATTTTGAAACGTTTCGGAAATCGATTTTGGAACGATGTTGTGGACTGACAGTGACTTGAGATTTTGTATTGGTGGTGACCTGCTGATTTGGTTCTGCGGTTGATTCCAATGCATAATAATTTCCTCCATAACTAGTTTCTTTAAGTTGGAACTTCTTTTAAGACATCAGGTGGATTCTGATTGTAGACTTTCGATTAATTTAATTGGTTTATGTGCCGTTTAAGAATGTAGTTGCTATCCAACTTAATTTTATAATATAGGTTCCCGGTCTCCTGTTGTCATACCCGATGAGGTCGGCGATCGTATTTACACCGATTGCATGTATCGCAAGCAGCAACATATTAAAAAATACTCGACAACATCCGCGGGAAATAGAATTGTTCCATAATTTGTTCTTTGTTCTCTCTATAGTTACGATGTGCTCTTTTATGCTCTGCTTCAATTTTCTGTAATTGTTGTTCTTTACACGTAATATCCGTTACCAATTTTTGAGTAATCTTAATTTTGAATCCAGAAAAAATATTAATATAAATTTATACCATTTATAATATTAGTTGGAGTCAGATGATTCTTGATCTGGTAGCTCTTGTTGAGAGTACTTCATATTGACCTTCCGAGGCTCTTCAAGTTTCATGTGTGTCGTTTTCTGTTGCACTTTGTATCCTCCGAATCCGAAATGATTCCTTCACTAGCTGTGTTAGTAGAAGAATTATATAAATGATTGACATGAGTTTTCAACCTTGATAGATCATCAGCTACATAGTTTGATTTACCTGGTTTGTAAATCAACTCGTGGTTATACTCTTCTATTGGAGACTTCCATCTCTTCAATTTTGCGTTAAAATTTCTACTCCCCAATGCACCAATGGTAGTACTGCTCCTAATGCCGTATTAGATGCGTCTGTCTTCAGATTAAATAGTGTTTCAAAGTCCGGGAAGCATAAGATTTTAGCTGTAGTCAATAAGGATTTTAGTGTATTAAATGTCGTTAAAGCTTCTTCATCTAGGCCAATCCAAACCTTCCTGGAATGGTTAGCTTTCACTTGGGCATGCTCTCCTCTAGCAAGGTTGGTAAGGGGCTTGACGAAATTGGAGTAATCGCAAATAAATCTTCGGCTTAACTCTAGTTTAGTAAAAACTTAATTTTCTAAATGTGACGCTTTTGTAATTCGAACGACGGCTACGCGAAATAAATCTTTTTTTACTGAAAACATAATTTTTATGAACTGGTTAGAATCGGGTTATGCGGATTGAAAGACCCATATCTTTGGACCCCCAAAAGGTATTCGCACAAATTGTAGCATTTTGGAAAGGTAAGAGCTATAATTTGGCATCAATTTTCAATGGGCCCTTTAAAGACTTTTTAGGGGGGTTTTATGAAAAATCCGGTTCTAAAAAATCGATAATTTGACTATAACCAAGGATACCTATATTGTCTATATCGGGTAATTCGATCCGGGTCTAGGCCTGTTCTTAAGCCCGGAATGGGTCAAAAATCTGGGGTCCCGGGCCCGTCCCCCAAGAAAAAAATAGTTTCCCGGAATCAGGGTAAATATACCTACATCTGGGAAAAATTTCGAAAAAATCGAAGGGTTTTTATAAAACTAGAGTTGTTCCAAATCTTCTATAATAAGTCATCCCCAAAAAAAAAACTTTTGAATTCGTTGGCGGCATCAGATTCTTGATGCTTATAATATTTGACAAGTCCGGTTTTATTTCCTCTGATCCAACGAGATTAACCTTCAAGTTGGCTTCACTTAGTCTCATAAATATTGTTTCTACATTTTTAATTAGTCGTCAATTTTTTTTACCATTACTATTATATCGTCAATATATAAATAACAAATTCGTCCTATGTATTCGTGGAGAACATTGTCGATCATTTTTTGAAAAATCTTAGAAATTTGCTGTGGAAACGCGGTTTTCGTAGTAAAATATTTAGTATTTCCCAAACTGGCAAGTGTGGATGAAATATCAGGAATGGGGTAAGTAATAGTGGAATTGTACTGGCTTTTTGAAGGCCTTATAACACTTTCTGAGAGCAACTCGTTTATTTGTCTGTCCACTTCTTCTGTCATGCACACTGGATATGGGTAACTTCGTGTATATTGGTTGTTCCGTGGTTGTTTTAATATTATGGTTCAAGTTGTGGTTTACACCCATTTATTATTTCTTCTATCTTAATCTTACTTTGGGAGGAATATTCGTCGTTTAAAATGTAATTGGTTTCAATTGTTATTTTCATTTAGCGGAATCCATAAATTATTCTTTAGAATTAAAAATGCTTCCTATCAACTACTGCATTTAAATCTTTCAACGTATCATCACCAATTATTCCATCAAAATTCGTCAATTTAGATAAAAAAAATAAAATTGTATCGGTTAACCTATTCCTATTTTTTGAAAAATAGCCCTATTACTATTCGGTTTAGGTTAAGATTGCCGGCAACAGATCGTACATTTATGGGTTTGCGCATCTTGCTTCCGTTAGAAAAATATTGTCCGCAAACTTTATTATTAGAGCCTGTATCAATAAAAAATTTTAAAATGATCCCGGCAGCAGTCGAATATTCTATATAGGGTAGGCTTTAAGGCCTTCCCCCATAAAATTTTCAGACATTTCTTGCTCAGGGTGAGCAAATTCTGCTTAAATAAGTTCGTCTTCCTCCGTAAGTTTGTCTTCATTAGTTATGTTTCCACATGATAAATTCGTCATTGCCTATTTATCGGTTGGAGCTCCTGCCCTTTCCTTTTTTCAACTGTCCTCGGCTTATTTATATAATTTACCCGACGTTATTGAATCGATCGGTCGACATCCATTGGTCCATGCCTTGGATAACGAGGAGGTAACGCATGTCTACTGTCGTTAGTGTTTTTAGAAGTATTTTGTACATAGTTTTTTTGCCAATCCCTTCCGCGGGAATTTTGATATTGCCTTCCTGGTCGTGTTTGAAATTATTTAAATGGTCGTGTTGGCCCTTGTCTATAGTCTGTATTATTAGGTATCGAAATGTTCACATTAGTTCCCGTTTTCGCGTGGAATAGACTTTTTCTTATTGTTAAATTTTGCAACTCAATGCAGGCTGAATATGCTTCAGGTAGAGTTTTAGGTCTCTGGACTATTATCATACGAGAGAGTTCTTATTTCAAACCTCGTACAAAAATATCAAGATCTGATCTCATAGACTCCGTACTATAAGACTCTGTTTTCAATTTATTGATTATTAAAGAGAGTTGGCTATTAACTGCAAAATAATGCTCTAATATTTGGATATCGCATCTTTATCTTTATTTCATCCCAATTACTATCGAAAACGTTATATGATATTAGGGCAATATCGGCGGCACCAATTATCTTTTGCCGAATGCCTTGCACTATTGACCGCAAAATTGTTTTTTTTCTTCACAATTTCATAATTTCTTAGAATTTTCTCTACTGCTGATTCAAGTTATATAAATATATATATATATATATATATATATATATATATATATATATATATATATATATATATATATATATATATATATATATATATATATATGTATATATATGTATATATACTTTGTGGGGTCTTAAATGTATATTTCGAGGTGTTACAAATGGAATGACAAACTTAATATACCCTCCATACTATGGTGGAGGGTATAAAAATTAATAAATAAATAAAGTAATAACAAGTAAAAAAACATTAAGTTCAGCCTGGCCAAACTTTTAATACCATCCACCTTAGGGTAAAGGAAACATTTGAACCCATTGTGTTCCACAAATACCAATCTTTAGACATATTCGTGGGAAAATCTCGCAAAATTATAAAAATATTGAATATCGGGAGGTGCCGCTATATGGGGCCATACAAGAATGTGAACCTATACATAAAATATTTCGGCAATGGAGCTAAAACTCATTAGGACACAAAAATACCAATTTTTAGACAAATCCGAGAAGAAATGTGCCAAAAATCATCAAAATACCGAATATCTGAGGTACCGTTATATGGAAGCTGTACCAAAACGTTGACCCATACATACAATGTTACAACATTACGACCAACAAATACCAAACCATCAAAATACCGCATATCGGGAGGTACCATTATATGGAGGATATACCAAATCGTGGACCTATACATGCAATGTTTTGCCACTGGAGCTAGAACCTATTATGACCAACAAATACCAATTTTTAGACAAATCCCTGAAAAATGTGGTAAAAATCATCAAAATACCGAATATCTGGAGGTACAAAACGTTGACCTATACATACAATGTTTCGCCACCGCAGCCAGAACCCATTAAGACCAACAAATACCAATTTTTAGACAAATCCGTGAAAAAAATGTGAAAAAACCATAAAAATACCGAATATCGGATGGTACTGTTATATGGGGACTATACCAAAGTTGGGCTGTCCTCTTTATGCGCCCAATCTTGATTTCTAAACGTTTCTAATAAGTAAGGAAATCTCAAAAGTCGGGTGGGGCCGACTATACTATACCTTACACCACTATGCATATTTAGTAGAGCTCACATAAAAGAAATGTTTATATTGGGCATTTCTGAGCTCTATGAGTTATCTGGTACAAAAATGATTATGGTAGAGTGCATATTACGAATGTGAGAGACTTAAACACCAAATCGGATGAAACATATATATGGGAGCTATAGCTATATCTGAAAATTTAAAGTACTTATTTCTATACTAAATTTAGTAGGAAGTGCCAAAATTCACACCATTTGGACTGAAAACTAATCGGATGAAGATATATATGGGAGCTATATCTAAATTTGGTCCGATTTTCACCAATTTCAATAGGGTTCGTCCTTGAGCCAAACAAATGTTATTTAGACCTGCATTTTGTTTATAAAAATACATGGACAGACGTACGGACGGGCAGATGGACGGACATGCATGAATAGATTCAAAATGTGATTCTATGCTGATCACCAAAATGAACTATGGGTTTATCTCGTTTCCTTCTCCACGTTACAAACAAATGCACCCTTACCACAATGTGGTGTAGGGTATAAATAAAGGCTATTTGATTGGATTTCTTATTTCAATAAAATGTATTATAGAATGTATAGGGTCCTAGATGAACATATACCATCCATTTTATGGTGTAGTCTATAATAATATGATTTTCAGAAATAGAATTTGATATGTTATTGATTTTAAAAATAGTTAAATTATTCATTTTAATTTCATTCATGCTAGTCAAAAGGTCCATGGTCATTGACTGTATGTTTTAGGGCTTGCTTGTTCGAATTAAAGGCTGATATATATTTGCGCGGTATAGCCAAAAACAGATTTCCTTCTAATCTAGCATTTAGTGGACACAAATTTCAATAGAACTCATAAGATTTAAATATATATATACGTAAATA